CCATGAGGAACTTTGCATCATTGCTACCAATGCTGGAAAACTGCTTGACATGAGCTGGCCAACATGGGGAGCAGCGTAATGCCATGACATCATCTCCAATTACTTATGTTTATCCATAACATCAATTCGTAGAATGAGTGGCTTGAAGAAGCCTGAAAACAAACATGGCCTCATTTACTGGAAGCCGAATCCCCAAAACTCCTGCTCAGTTTCACAAGGACTGAAGGTGCTGGGCAGGGGGTATTCAATGCTTTGGAAGAAGAAGTCCATAAGAGGTCAATTATCGTGGTATTTTGGCAGGAAGAATTTGAAGAAAATTGCCCTTAAATCTATGATTCATGTTCTCCTGGATTCTAGGAAATTCTCCTTTTGACAGATTAAAAAGTAGTGCAAAAGAATTAAAGTGTGTTGGAATCACTAAAAGCAGGGGGAAATGGGCTAAGGGGAACCCTTGCTGAAGAGGGATCAGGTTTGGCTGCTGTAATCTAGGCAGCAATTAGCTCTAAGTGTATGCATGGCAAAGTTCAGCTATTGGCACCTGGCAAAGCCAAACCAGCAGAAACTGCAGCTGCTCTGGTTAAATGCGCTCAGAGAACTTTAGTGAGTGGTCTGGATGGTACCAATTTATTATACCAAATGCTACTGAGAAATTGGTTGACTCTGTGCTCTTTTAAACTTCAGATAATCTTTAGGCCACATCTTGAATTTGTTGCTCTGGCTTTTATGAATGATAAAAGAGAGAGAGCATCTAAGGAGGAGTTGCAGGACTTGGCTTCTGATTATTGAGGTGACCATATCTAATATGTATGTATTAAGCATAACTGTCCCCTGAAGGCAAACACACTCAGATGAAGAGAACATGGAACAAGGGTGTATGAAAGTCAAGATAATATTGAGTTAAAAATGGGAATTCACCAGCCTCCCTGATTTTACTTTAAAAATGGACCCATTAGAATTTCCCAATGAAACTTCTTACACTTGAGAAAAAATACTACTTCATGAGACTTTATCTATTTGACTGAAATTCCAACTGGAAAATACAGTAGAAGTATTTAAAAATTTTCTAAAAGATTGTGAGAGTTTAAAACTTTTTAATTCTTATTCAGTACCAAACTAAATTTTAAATTCCATCTAGGGAATAGCAACATCATGTTTTAGCTTGTTCTAGTCAAACCAGTGCTAAACAGATAAAATAGGAACTTGCAATTTCCTCCCCTGTTAAGGTGTTGGTTGTTCAGTAGAGACATATTCCTGATCACATTTTTTTTCTCAGAAGCAAAGGCTGTAATTTAAAAAAAAAAAAAAAAAGAAAAAGGCAACACTGAGGCAAATCTATAAAGTGGATTACTGTAATGACCTTCCGAAGTTAAAGGAGAAGTTGAAATAGCCAATAATTGAAATGTCATAGGAGGAACTGAGCTGGTAAGAAAAAGCAAATATTTAAAGATGAGAAATATTTAACATGTCACTGGATTAATTTCTCTGCCAAGTTCATCAGAAGCAAATATATTTCTATTTGATGTCAGGGACATCAGGTAGAATCTGACTAACCTTATGGGCATGAAACAACCTCAGAGGTCTCTTTAGCCCAGAATAGTTTTAATGCAGAAGTCCTGTCAGTGAATGTATATTTTTCAGTGAGGTAGATCCACCTTGGTGTTGAAGACAAACAATTGCATTTTATAAAAGAAAGTTACAGTTGCTATACAAATAACTGCTCATTCTGTTGTCTTTTACTGCTTACTCTGAAGGAGCTGCTGTTCCTAGCAGCATCCAGCTCTTTTATTTCCATGAGTCCCAGGTCTGAGATACTCCTGCCACTTGGCATACACAAAGTTTATGTCCCTTCAGGGAACTGTTCTGAGTTTTGCACTTCTCCTTCACTGGTTTCTCACCATTTCTCTTTCATCAAAATATCATCGTGATTAAGCCAACAATCACAAATTAAAATTAGATTAAGATTTCAAGGTGATTCCTTCTCTGTTTTATTCCTCTCCAGCCTAATTGCACAGGCTTAGCAAAGGTGTGTATTTTCGTGTTTTCAGTCTACTGAATCAAACTGCAACATCCCTCAAATTGTGAACAGCCTCATATTCAAAAGGTTGGGTCTTACAGGGACATAATTTAATTAAAAAAAAAAAAGGCTGGGAATAGGTCTCCAGAGTCTGTCTATGCAATGCTTTGAAACGATTAAGAATTCCTGTTCCTCCTAATTCTTCCTAATGACACAGTAGGAATGAAGATGTTCAATGGAAAGTGGCCAATGCCTCAGTGAAGACAGACGGACGACTCCTGCTTAGTGCTTGGTACCTCCCTCCCCATTTTCTTGAACCAGCTGTGATCTCAGAGAGTGGAGTCAATGAAACAAGGGCTGCACTCCTCGTTACTGACCGAATCACTGCACAGCAGTGTCTACTCCTGTAGGACTGCTGCCCGTTGGAGGATGGCACTGCCTGCACTGGGGCAGGGGAAAGCCTCAATTGCTATTATTTTTACTAATATCTGAAAGGTTCATCTTCAGTGCCTCTTTCATTGGACTAGCTTGTGGAATTAATGTACATTAAATAGTGCAAACCCTTAGCCATAGACTTCAGTTCAGTCTGAATTTTATCTTCGTGTGTACTAATTTAAGAAGAAACATAAACACAATAATCAGGTTATTTGACATGGCAGAGTATACACACTCCTAGTAATACTAATGACAATGTCTGTTCCATTACGTTATATGAAAAAGGTGATTTGTATATGTTTACGGTAGCCCATGATTTAATTTACACACAACTGAATTGGTTAAATTTACAGTTTAAACAGTAGATCATCTGAATGTACATCCTGTATTTGGACAGCTCCTATATTGTTATATTGAGAAAATTAATGTATTAAAGGAATACGTAAAGCCCAGCCTAAGCTTGTTCATTGAGCACTCGACACATGGCATTTTAGTGACTGAAAGGGGAAAAAAATTAAACAATTTGCATACTTCAGTACAGTAGCAAATGACTGCATTGACAAGGTCACTGTGCTAAACTGATATCATCCACACCACACCCAACTTCTAAAAATCCTCCAATACTTGCATGGTGATGCCCGTAAAAAAACTCATTAAGTGTCAGACTCTTAGGGTTTTTTACCTCCTGCCTGTTTAATAAGCAATTGATTTTTTTAATTAAGAATTCAGTGTGCTTTTAATTTACACAGGAAAAAAAGCTTGAGTGCTCTGTTTTGTTTGTGGTAACATGGCTAGCTGTATAAAACGTCATTTCTTCCTCTACTACATACATAATTGTATTTCCAAAGGTAACTCTCATTGAATCAGATAACTAGCAATTTCTTTTGTAATCAGGACCTAATTAGGTTGTTGTTTACAGTATACGTGATCAATAGCTTTTACACTGGATCACACAGTGTCAAAGCTCTAATAATTGGTATTAAATGTAATAGAGAGACTGTAATCAAACAAAATGTAAAAAATCTTCAAAAAGTATGTACTATACTGGGAGGTTATTAAAATTCCCGATACTGCTTAAAATGTTTAATGTGCTGAATACAAATGATATTTTAAAGAAAGCTTTGTGGATCAAAGATGGATTTAATAATTGTAATGTTTATGAATTTGTTTTGAAAATATTTTTAATTGGATAATGTCGGACTTTTGAATTATAATGCTATGTTCGTTAGCATTTCAATAAGTTATATTATCAGCTCCTTTTGACATAAAATAATTTGATTTATTTTTTAAATCATGAATCTCGTTATTTTTTTCTGTTGTCACTAGTTTTCAATAATTTGATTAGCTTCTACAAGAAGAGCAACAGGAACCACATGGGCTTTGCTGGTAATGATGTGCTATATATTTCTTTTCCGAAAGCAGCTCTGATGCCTTTGAAAGTAATTTGCCGTTTCTTATCAGTACAGAATTAAAGAGTAATATTGTCTAATTTGTTATGTTCAGTGGCACAGAGCATCCTAGAATTCTATCACATACACGGTGCTTTGAAACCTCTATTATTTGACCATAATCAAGAGTACATAAGTGAATTTCAGAATTTATGAAAGTGTTTATTATTAGCTAAGAAAAAGCTCAAAAGATGAACTTGTCAAGAGGTTTAATAATCCCTTAGTAAGACGGGTACTTTGCACACTCCCAAACTTCACTGCAGTTTATAAAACAGTAATTTGCACCTTATAGTTGTATTGCAAATAACTGATCTGGACATTTCAGAGCAGGCCTGGGCATAATTGTGTAAGTCTCAATGTAATCTGTAAATTCAACATGATGAACTCCTTGCTTGGTGAAGTTATCTTCTACTTTCACTACAAACAAAAACTGATTACTGTTGATCATTTAGACATAACTGCCTGTAACAGTCAACAAGCCATCACAGTAAGGTATAAAGACAGCCCTTAGGAGAAATGCTGCCTATTTGATGACATTTAAAGCTTTAAAGAATTCCTTCTAGATACCGCAGAAAATCATCACGAGCCAGCACTGGCTGTCAATGTCACTGAATGAAAATCAAAGCGATCAAATCATGTATACTGGCAATATTGCCCTGCAAACCATTAAAACAATTTATGGAACTGGTCTTGCAAACAGTTCATCATGTCAGCAATGCCAAGGTCTGCAGTAGGAACTATCAGGGTGAGAAAAGCCCGTCACATGGGTGAGTGTGCATGATGCTGCCTTGTAATTGGATCAACCACCCCTTTGTGTTGATTTTAGCAATCTAAGAAATAAAACACAGTTTAAATGACATCCTACTACTTCTTTTCCCTCTACAATGTTGTGATAAGAGAAGTAAGGCATGAAGTTCCTGTAACTTTTTTGAGCTGACCTTATCAGCTGTGTATAAATAGATAATGCTGTTTTAATAGAGCAAATAAATTGTATGTAATTTTTATTAAACAAACAGTATAATAACTGGGCTATATTATCACAATGAAAGCATAGAAGGCCATGGACTGTACAGCTGAAACCCTGTAGCAAAACTTGTTTCTACTGCTTACCCTCAAATTTAAAGAAACATGTCTTTCTCAAGCTTTCACAATGGCGGCTGCTGCTTGTTAATTTAAAGAATCTTCACCCTTGTTAAGGCTAGATTATTATAATTAAAAGATAAATGTACTGTTAGAAAGTTCTATGCCACACTCTATGAGAATTTAACTGAAATACGTACATTACACCTGTATGTGAATTATAATGGCTTCTCAGCAGGGAATGCAGAACCACTTACAGTACATAAACATTTAAGGAGGAAAATGCTAATACACTGAAAGAGTTTAACATCAGTAACAATTTATCAAATGAAGAAGTTTCATGAAGTCCACTCTCTGGGAGAACATTCACCGTTAGACAAAAGCCTGGCATCCTCGATAGTCTGAAGTTCAATCAATTTGAAAACCAAAACCATTCAATGAGATAAATAGGATCTTAAGAAAACTGCCATCCTCCTTCTCAGGTAAAAGCCAGAATCAAAATAATCATTATTAAAATAATCCAACCAGGTCGCTTTACAGGCAAATTTACACTCTGTCTCTTTAAAACACTGCATGCCCAAAAGCCTTTTGGGTTTGGAATGTAGCACTGCACCAAGTATTTCACAAAGCCTCTAAATATCACAAGAAGCTTTTTTAGAGAGAAAAAAAAAAAATTCCAGCTGACTGAAACTGTTCTAGCAGGAGTGCCTCAGCTTAGCTCCCAGACCTGGAATTCCAGATAAACAACAGAGGACAGGAAACAGAATTTTTTTTTTTTTACACGTCCTTTTGTAACGCAGCTACAAGACGACTGATGAGCTTAGGAACAGACAGAGTGAGAGTGCAAGTGTCATCAGAGTGAGCGGTGTGCTTAGATAGAAGCTTCTAGGAAGAGCGAGCGAATTCTCCGAAGATATGTGACTGGTGGAGACTCCTGCTGTGTTGTCTTTCCCAATAGCATTCTGCAAGACACAATACTTTCCTTGGTCACCATTACACATTTTCATTGCAAAATATTTAAATCTACATCATGAAGTTCATCTTTTGTTTGCTCATGTCCACCCTCCAGTTACCTATCTACCACTATCACAGATCGAAAGATACAAAAGACATAAAAACAGATGTTAAAATAACAGTATTTTAAAGTTAGTTTAAAGGATAAAAACACCAGTACAGCACAATTAAAAAAAAAAAAAAAGAAGAAAGTATTAAAAAATCCCTACTTTAGCAATGGTTCCATGTGTAAACCTGCCCTTGTTAAGTATGGCAATTTTTTCACGATCTGTGTTTATTATGCCAGTTTATTTTAAAAAGCAAATACAGGACCCACAGAGAAACTGCAACTTCTGCACAGTCAACGGAACACCTTTGTTTGGTAACAAGTTACTTCTGGATAACAATAGATAAAATCTAATCCACGGGATCAGAAAAGACACAGGTTTCTGGCTTATGAAAAATTATCTTTCTCACGCCTTTTTTTCCTTTAATTGCTGCATTATTTACATTCTTTTTCTTCTTTGCTACTAATAATTAAACAGCATGCATCTGCAATACAGACTGGCAGACTATAGTAAGCTGCTTAAGGAGGAGGTGCAACAGGAATATTTCTCATTGCTTATCATCCTCATTTGAAAAAAAAAAAAACCAACCAAACAGGTATAATCACAGAATCGGAACAATTTAGACTAGAAGGGACCTCTAAGGTCCTTAAGTCCAATCTACTCCATACAAAGTTGCTCAGACCCTACAGAGGGGACAAGCCTCCCCCTGTGCTGGAGAGGCAATGTGCCAAGGCACAAGCTAGAAGTACCCAGAAGAGCAGATACAAAGAATAAGAACAGAGCATCAGTTTCTGCCGGAATGACTCTCTACAGAGCCAGGAAGGTGTTCGTGGATAAATCTCCGTGCCATTCCCTCACTTCGCGATTGCCTGCCAGGACTGGCTAACTGGAAGGCCTTGAAATGTAAACTGTTGGAGGTAGTAGAGGCATTGGGGGAATTATCACAATATGCTTTCTTATACTCAGCCCTTGGCATCTGGTTTTTGGAAACTGTCACAGATAGAGTATGGAATAAGATGGACCAGCAGTTCTTATGGTAAGCTACAGTTACTAGGACCTTCTTGTGAAAGGTCTTTTAGCCAGCACAAGATGTCAACAGATCTGTTAATGTTACTGCATTGTTCCCCCACATGTTACTAGGCTTCATTCTAGTATCTACAGGAAATTCTTAATCAAATCTAAAGAATTAGGAATGGGCTATAGAATTGTCATTGTTTAGAAGAACTGCAAATCTGGACTGGTGAAGAAGAACCTGAAAGATATGCTCACATCCATGTGGTGGCTTATGCCAGTACAGCTGGCTTGCTCCAATGCCTAGGCTATGTGCTTCCACATTTTAAAAATTAATTTATGTACATCACTAATTATTAAGCTTCCTGAGAGACTCAGTACAAAGGATATGGACTGACAGACATGGAAACTGATGTAATGTTTACGTCTGAAAGGGCGCCTTGGAGGTCAGGCTGAGCAGACTACTCAAACAGCACTGGGAGGTTCATGTCTCTTGGGGCTGTCGATCTGTCTCCTGATGTAGGAGCATTGCATCTCCTGATGTGAACATCATCTCATGCCCTAAACTGGTCATTTTTGTTAGCCACAGAATGATGTCTAGTATGTTTCTGTGTATTTGTTAAAAGCCATATCATCTTGTGTTCCTGCAGATTATTAATTAATTATACTCACTAGGTGCAATGGCAATTACCACAGGATCTGCCTAAACATGTACTCCACAGCTATTAAAATATAAAGTCAGCAGAGGCCACTTTGAGCCCAGCTCCAGATTTCTGAGTAAGATCATTCTTTAATACACTATGGTATCCAAACATAACAATACTAACACGACTTTAATGTAAGGTAAGCCCATTATAATCTTTACAGACTTTGAACATTTTATATTATGGGAGACATCTGTGCTGTGAGACATACAGGACCCACACTCTTACCTCATTAAGACAGAGCTCTGTATCTACAGATTCATTGGATTTCCGCTTCTTCTGTGCCTATGAACAAATGCAAAATTTATTCCCTGTACAATTTATACATACAGCAGCACAAAACAATTAGAGAAATTTGCATGGGTTGTCATATTCCTGTAATTTTGACAGTGATTTGCACATGATTAGCAAATAAACTCTCCAAATGTAACTGCATGTTTTCCAGTAACATTCACATTCTGATCTGAATTTACAGCAAAACTTCAAACAGTCAGCTAAGGGTACTTAGTAATTACAATGATGAGTGCCATCAGCTGCTGAGAACATGTTATGTTCTCTGGCCCCTTAAAATTGTGCTGGATGTTCATGAGAAGTAATGAAATATGACAGTTAATAATTACCATAATATCACTGCATATCAACAAAAAAATCTATCGTATGTCTCAGTTCTAGGAAAATATACAACACAGGAGTATTTTATCCTTAATGATTCTTGCAATTTCTCCATGTATTATTATGAAAATATAAATATAATTTTAATACATTGCATGACTGCCACAGTCTCTTCTAGAAAGTTACAAAAAGAACATTTAATGTCTTTTAAAATATATACTTGTAATTCAAATTGAGCTGTTTGTTTACATTGCATTCACTAATTAATATAGATGGAATATTATTAAATGCAGGAATATTTTAGATGATCAAAGACTAAAAAATGAATCTGTTCTATCTTCAGCCATGTCTTACGATGAGCATCCCTCTGTTGCTACTACTGTGTGCTCTCCACACTGACTCAAGTAAGAAACATTCCTGGTGGCAGCATCATACAAAATGAAAGCAATAGTGTGCACTCTGTCTAGCGTCATAAGGTGTTTAATATTTGCATTGTTCAAGCGAACATGACTGGGCTGGGAGTTTTCTGCTTTTCTATAATAGCAATAGCAATCCCCATGGGGCTGAAGATATTTTCAATAAATGGTGCTGTGGTTGATTTAAGTACTTCAGTGATTCTCAATATCATTTCTTTCTTTGTATGTTCCAGAAACATAAACAGCACTCTTTTATAGAAGCCACCAGTGTTAAATGTACAATCAAGTCTTATAAGAGAAGACCTGGATTTGCACACAGAAACTGCTGACTGCACTGAGCATGCCTGATACTTCCTGGGCGTTCTGTTGGACTTGCAATTCATTTCCTGCAAAAAATGAGGATCTGAATCTCACTGTGTTGCGTTCATTGTACACTGCAGAATCCCACTGGTTTTGGCAGGGATGGACTGGACTGAAGCTGATGCGAGGAAGTGCTAAGCATTCTGATTTTATACTCTCAAAAAATTCAGTTCGTCATACAGCTATTTTATTTTATATCTGAGAGCCATTGGTGCTGCCTATGGATATAAAATATTCTTTGACCTAATTCCTGATTTTAGAATCCAAATGAAGGAACTGATCTTCTCATGAGGAAGCACATTCCCTGCTTTTCTTTATACTTTCATATTTATAAATAGATATATTAGAGACAACTGAAAAACTAAAACAGCTGGGATTTAAGAGGAAGACAGCTTAGCTATAGTAAGAATGCATACTGTATATATGTTGATAGTTTTCAAATATATGACAAAATAATAGCTCAATTCATTAATAAACAACCTCCGTGAAATCTCTCTCTTACATACCCTTTCTTGGTAATTAGTACCATTAAAGTGGTTATGGTAAACATAAATTTAACTATCTCAATGGAAAAAGAAATGCCTGGAAATAAATTCGCTACAACAAGAAGCAACACAGTGAAGCCTTCCTGCTGTGTTTGCAGTGGCGGTGGCATTCAGAGAGGACAGGAAACTTCCTTTAACGGCAGCTGGGTAGATTTCAACTCCTACATGGCTGGCTCCAAGGAGACGGGTAAAGAAGGAGAAACCGGATTTCAATCCTGATTTTCTTATATCCTAAACACCCATACTACATTGAATTGGAATGTGAGGCTTCAGAGGAGGCCTCAGGTTCAGAGGTTCAGATCTTGACAGTGTAAACTGTAAGGATCATACAAGCCTCGTATTTCTTAGTTTGTCATTCAGTGCTAAATTTCCTAGTCCACACAAGCATCTGTCTATTGGAAACATTGTGCTTTGCTGCTTATGCCTGCTTTGGATTCATAATACTGTGTTAACTACAAGTCTACTCTTGGTAGTTGGTCTCAACACCAAAGTTAGAATTTATGTTCCTTCTGTATTGTGTTTTGCAAATGAGAAAAGAGAAAAATATCATTATTCTGTCCATATGCAGCCTTCCTTGACTTCATTCAGCCTGACAGAGTGCAACAGCTAAAACATATTTACCTTTGAGAACACTATTTTAAGGGTAAAATCAACATAAACAAAATCAACGTAAAAAAAGCTTTTCAATCATTTTGATCAATATTCCCTAGCTTTCATTTGGAAGGTAATACTTCTTGTATCCATATACTTAATGCAGTCATTCTAACATCAACAACACTTATTCACACACATCCTCTATTATAAAGTCCTCCTTTCTTAGAATTGAAAAGTAATTTTAATAAACAAGCAGGCTTTTCTCTTATCAAAACAGAAAGGACAATATCTTCCATTTAAAAATACAGGGTGGGGGAAGCCAGAGGGAAAGAAAAAACTATAATTCTGAAGATGAGATGAGACATTATATGCCAAGTTTCAAATTGGAAGAGTACATTTTTACTGTTGAGTTATAAACCTGTAAAAACGGGTTATAATAGAAATGCTGGCATAGGCTGCACTACTATAATACAACAGTGCATCACTAAATCACAAGTAATGAGGAAAAAAAAACACCTATGTGTTGAAGAGAGTGCTATAGAAAGTGTGTGTCCTGTAATTACAACCTAAGGGGAAAATTCTTCCCGCCCTACTCTTGGGCAGAAAGGACTCTACATGTAGCAGAACTGCTGTATTTGTGCTACAGTGAGTGAACACCTTATCAGAGATAAAAAATCAGGGCTTGGAAGTTATGCCCATAGCCTTGGTGGAAATACAACAAGACTGGGAGACATGCATTTGAATTATGAAGGATATCCTCAGCCATCACATATTTACCTCACAACTCCTTCCATTATCCTAAAAAAATAAACAATAGAAATGTGTGCCCATCACGTACAGCTGCAGACAATTCTGACAGGGAATATCTATGCCATCAACAAATTTGGGAAATGAGGGCTGTTCATTATGCAAGATGCCAAAGAGTCACTGCCAACCCCCACCTCGGGTCTCCTACGTGCCTAACAAACAGGCAAGAAGGTACCTTCAAATGTGCTAGAAGTACATAATTCCACAAGAGTAAAATAGCACACACAAATGGCTAATAAGTCTGTATTCAAACTTGTATTTTTTTGAATTTTAATATAAAGCTCCTATCTGGTGACAAAAAGATCTATGGGAATTTTGTCATTAAACAAAACACAAGCAGGGCTGGGCTGATAAAAATAATAAAAAAACAATGAAAAAAAAGCAGCTTAACAAAACTGGTTCAACATATGGAAAGAGGTATGAGATTTTTTCTACTGAGGTAAGGTAGCATTTGCTAATGACTTATACACTCAGCTGTGACATGCCTCTGACTGTACAGCAAAGTTATGTAAGACGGGCTGACACTCACCCCGGCTTCTCAGGGAACTGTAATTCAGTAATGTGGGCTACTCTGACAAAGCTGCCCCCGTACTGCCAACGATCTTGCACTCACATAAGCTTTTATATTCTGTAAAAATGAACATCTGCTTTTACAGAGAATCTTATCACTGTGGTAGCACAAGCAACAGATGATATTTAGAGATAATCATATTCATGCACCTCTTGATGAGATCTTCACTATCCTGTACGTTAGTCACACAAGCCTTGTTTTGGTCTTCGCAGCCTTCAGCTTTTAATATTCAAACCGAAGTGTTGGACTGAGTCAAGAGCTGGTAGAGAAACCAACTGCATGTCCAGAAAATACAAAACTCTCATGATCAGAAGCAGAATATTACTTATTTCTTTCCTAGAAAGAAATGAGAATCAGGGCCAGCAGAGGAGCTAGTGGTTTTCTGAAAGGAGAAAGGAATATCGCTTGTAGAGGTATTTCTCCTTGAGACACAGGACTCTGGACCTCAATGTTTCCTTCTAATCCCAATGGCTCCTAGATGAGTTCAGTCATATGTCCTTGCTCAGACACACCCTAACCTAGTCTTCTCTTGTCCTGCACCTAATAACCACGGTAAGATCCTCCCAAACCTAGTAACTCTCTGCTTCCCAACCCCCAAATCCCTCTACCGCCATCCTTTGCAGACAGAAATGCTATCCTGCAATTATGCATCCAGCTTCTACAAATCACAGCACTACGTGGTTAGTAAATGCATTAAACACTGCAGTGGTATCTCACCAGGAGTCAGTACACACATTATTTATGGCTTGTCATCCAGCCATTTTTATATATCCACTACAGCACGCATATCTATGTTACTCACAGCAAGGAAAAGGTCTGACCAGGGACGGCTCCAAACAGAGGTGAGCTTTAATTTGGAGGGAGGGGAGGGAAGAAGAAGCATGTAAAGGTAACTGAATACGTTGGACCTGAATGCAAACAGGCACAAAGTGAGCATCCCAACTCAGAAACCAGTCCCTTTCTGTTAGCTACACACTTTGGGCCTTATGTGCTTTATGGAACATATTGCTTAGACATTACAGACAACAGAAGTATCATTACGATAGATATCTGTTATGTGGGTTGTTTTTTCAGCTAATTTTAATGAGTGTGCCTTTGTCCTCTCCTGAGACGCCTGGTTAGTTATGCCCATATTAACAAGCCTTTCTGAAGAAGAGAGACAAATCTCCCAGAATACATCCTTCAAATGGCCACGCTTCTGAAGTAGCTGTAACAAATGAGGGCGCTTGTTCTTTTTCTTCTTCTCTTGTGTTGATTAGAGAGATTTACTATGCAACTAACCTGTTTTTCCAACAGCAGGACACAATAAGCAGAGAAATATACAGATTGTAAAAATGTAATCAGTTTAACTCTTCTGCGCTCACTAAGCATTGCGTGCAT